CAATTCGCATCGTATATATTTGCTTTCCGATCTACCCATCCTTCTGTCGATGCTATCAATTATTGCAACCATATTCCGTACACCCCTAATTTTTAACGCTGTTTTCTCAATGCCGACTTCCCGCATTTTCTTTGCCCTTCATTCTCTTTCGGACAACCGCGGACAATGCCTTTCCATCGCTTGATGCCCAACCAAATTTGTTCTTCACGCACGATGCTGTACCATGCTGTTGGGGTTTTTCGGTTGACGTTATTCCTGGTCGTAGTTTTTTTTCCCGCCCCACGCACCTGTGTTCTATCACATTCATTATTCCTCGAAATCGAATCGAAATAACATGTACAATTTTCCTAAGTATATCCCGTTGAACGCTGAGTGATGACGACATCGGGATCATTATTCCCTGAGTCATTTGTTATCGCAATCTTTGGCCACCATCCACCGCACCAGCCATGACAGAATCCCGCGTTATCAACTTTGGCGCAGGGCCCTCTGCTCTACCCGTGCCCGTCCTCGAAGAGGCAGCACAAGGCCTCCTCAATTTTAATGGAACAGGTATCGGCATCGCTGAGATCTCCCACCGCTCCAAAGAGTTCTCTGCGTACATCGCCTCTGTCGAAGCCCAGATCCGCACCCAGCTGGCCGTACCACCGACCCATTCCATCCTTTTCCTCCAAGGTGGAGGGACAGCGCAGTTCTCCGCCGTCGTGCTGAACATGATGGCGAGACATCGATTGTTGAACCCGGAGATGGACGATGATGAGAGGGTGATGGATTATGTGCTTACGGGGAGTTGGAGTAAAGCTGCGGTACATGAGGCGGGGAGGTTGGCGGGGGGTGCGAAGGTGAATATCGCCGTCGATGCGCGGACCCTCTCGGCCGATGGGAAGTCATTCGACCGTATCCCCCCACACGACGCGTACCGATTTTCCAAGGACCCCGCGCTGATATATTATTGCGAGAACGAGACCGTTAGTGGTACGCAGTTCTCATCGGACCCTACTCATCCTGCCTCGTTCCCTTTCGAGCGGCTACCTGGGGATAAACTACTCCCTTTGGTCGCGGACTATTCCTCGTCGTTCATGTCGCGTCCGATTCCACGTCTCGCGGATCACGCTATCGTGTACGCCGGTGCGCAGAAGAATTTGGGTCCAGCAGGACTGACGATCGCTATCGTCCGACAGGACTGCATCGTCGACGTCGACGCCGCCGCTCGCCTCGGTGCCGTACCCGTTCCTACTGGCTTAGCATACAAGAGCTTTGCAGAGCAGAAAAACATGCCGAATACCCCACCGGTGTTTGCGGTGTATGTCACCGGTCTGGTGCTGAAGCGGAACGCGGAGCTTGGAGGGGTGCAATATTACGAGGAGTTGAATAGGAGGAAACAGGAAAAGGTATATGGGGTGCTAAAGGAGGGTGAGGCAAAGGGTCTACTCAAGGGCCATGTACAACCGGGTAGCGGAAGTTCCATGAACGTGGTGTTTAATGTTATCGGTGAAGGCGCTGAAGCTAGATTTTTGGCTGGAGCGGAGGAGAGAGGGATGAAAGGCCTCAAAGGACATCGGTGGGTTCCTCTTATTTTCCGAATACGTATAAAATTATTAACAACGTGTATAGATCGGTTGGAGGTATCCGTGTTTCTCTCTATAACGCGGTCACGGAGGAACAGGTAGACACACTTGTCGCCTACATCCGAGAGTTCCTCAATCAGACGCCGGCGCAGCAAACACCATTGCCCTCAGCATCTACATAAGATCTCCGGATCGACGTTATCTAATGGGGAGTTCGGGCGTCAGTATTCCCCGTTCCCATGGTTTTGGGGCCAAATTCGCGGTCTTCGCTTATTGTTTTTTAATACTTAAAAGTAAGGGTATATTTCAGACATTCAACTGTCCTTTTCCAATAGAATATAAGAATCCCTTCTTTGGATCACCGAGGATTTACTACAAGCCCTTGTTCTATGGACACCACAGTCATTTCGTTCATTGTCCTCGATGTCGTAGATGCCACTGTGCCCGAGATGCGCACAAGTGGTATTCACGTCCTTGTTTTAGTGTAACGGCATTGTTTTTGTGCGGTTCACTCCTCGCAGCAGTCACCATGACATGAAACGTGTAACATCTAGAGTACAACATTCATTGACACCTTGACGGAGCCTGGGTGAAGGTGTGAAAGACGCTTGGGACAAGCGCCCATAATCACTGTTTCCGCATGATTGGCTCATATTGTTAGAAAACGAGACCACTTTCGTGGTCACTTTGCCGGAGTGGTTAACGGGATCGCCTGCTACCTTTGTAGTCCAGCGGTTGGTCTTTGACCGCGAGTGTTCGAATCGCTCAGGTGAGGCTTTTTTTTTTTTCTCTTCCATACCTTTTTCTTTTACACTCATATTTTTGACGTGAATTCTTTCTGTACTCCGACCTATTTTCGTGGAGACTAGTACTTGTCACAGCTCGGCAAGTCAAGAACAACTTACATATTCCAAAATAGCCCATCATCTCGCTACTTAGACCCGACCCTCATGCTCAGCAGCTCAGGCCTCAATTCGTATTCGTCATTGTTCCACGTTCCACGTTCAGCATTCGTCCAGCTGGAGTCTCTTCGTCGTCAGAATGGTCTCCGACATTTTCACGGCTGACTCAGAAGGCCCGCGCGCCTCTACCGGGTTCCAGCCTAGCGTACAATGTGGACTCGGACTGACGCTTTGTCTGGGACAAATCTTCGAACTTAAGGTTTTCGCCCCATGAACTACCAGGTCTGAGCCATATCGCTTTTCGAGCAATCCCTGTTGTCGCTTTCATCCCTTCGATACTATCCTCGGTGTGGGAGAACGAAGTCGAAAATCGCCCTAACTTCCCTATCGATGGCGAGGCTTTTATTGGAGCTCATCAAATTTAGTACTGGAGCTGCTGTCAAAATTGTATACTCTGCGGCCGGCGCTTGTCTCTGGAGTGATAACAACAAGAACGACGCGAACAACACTCTTGTGGGTGGACGCCTCTACGAACGGGGGCAAACGCAAAGAAGGGTGACTCCTATCGATGAGTATCGGCGCAGGTCCAAGCTTAAAGGTTCGTCGTTCGTCCTTCTTCTTTTCAGCTATCACTCTCCTGTACAATCATCCGAGAAGTCGTCGTAAACTGATTCTGCTTGATTCCCCCAATAGCTGCACAGGCGGCGGCACAGGCCGCTGGAGCACGCAACGAAGACCAAGAGAAGAATGAGTACGTCGATGTCCAACGGCTGCTGGATACGGAGATGAAGGAGGTTTTTATCCTCAACGATATCCCCGTTCTCATCGAAATCCCCAACGTCATCATCGGCGACGTCCCTGAGATCGTCTTGCGACAATCCGAACCCGCGCGCGTTATTCCCATCATCAGAACCCCTCGCAGAGGGCCAGTCGTCGAGCCCGAATTTTCTATCTATGCCGTAAGCTTTTCGTGGACTTTATTCTCTTTTCGTTCTTACCTGGTTTCTTGAACTCGTTTTTCTTGTTTATTTAGCACGCTTCGTCGCCACTTCTGAACAAAGCGATGTATATCACCCCCGTTCGACAAGCTTTCCTGGCCTCTGGGGATATCGACCTTACTCTGCTGAGAGACGCCAGCGAGCGTGTTAGTCAGATTCTCCAAGAGAATCGTCGAAGAGTCGATGCGGGGGAGGATCCGAGCACGGTTCGCAGTACGTCTCCCGAAATTCCTTAATTTATTTTCCAGGCTACCTTCTCAACGTGAGATTTCTCGACAGAGGAGGCGCGGCGCAGACGTGCGCAGGAGATCTCGACAGCTCGTCAGAATATCGCAGGAGGGCTCTCTGTGTTGGAGGTTTGAAAAAATTGTCAAATATTTATACCATGTACCATCTTTGCTTTTACTGTGCTTTGAGTTTTTGTTATGCTTTCCCAAAAATTCCAAAAATTCCATCTGTTTTCGATGAAGATGACGACGCGCTCAAGGATTTGGAGCTTCTCCGTATCTTCCTTGCTCGATATCTCCACAACGCTCAACTTGGGCAGATAAAAATAAACTGTTCCGAGATGGGTAGGTTTGGCACCAGCAATTTTTATATATATAATGGCAAGACGATACTTTTGCTGGGCTCTGATATAAAGGATATTTCGCTGTCTTGGACTTTCATAAATGTAGCAATATATACAACAATCAATAGGCGCCCGATGCAAATTCTGGCCGGCCAAACTAAAGAGGTTAAAAACACAATGATATTGGGCTACATCCTATTAGCAGCTAACTTGTTTACGCTGTGCTTTTATCTAACTATTTAGAGGTGCGCATTGGCATGCATAAATAAAGGTACTTAGATGTAGTGCCCTCATGTCCGCAATTACATCAATCTCTCGCAGTGCGCAATGCGCCTGCCAAAATGTTGTCTTTTTAAAGTCTTATCAGTAGGATGCAAATCTACTCATCTATGAGAGCAGTTATATTTTATCTGCCAAAGTTGGGCGCTGAGCCAAGGGGCCACCGTCGGAGAAATCCGAGAAATCGACCCACCCCGGGTGGTCGTGAGAATGTTCTCACGACCACCCTCTGAGCCTCTCAAGCGCGCTTACGGGCTGATAAGTAACGGTAGCCATAAGTAGACTGTGCATCGACATCTACTCAAGTCATTATGTGAATTCTTAATGGATTCTATCATGTTTTTTCCATATAATAACCTGGTGGCTCTTGTTAACAAAGCTCCCTCCTCTCTCCTCGCTCTCTCCTTCTCTTCATGCAACATTTTTCATGCCTTAGTACAATCCCTTTCATTCCTTTGTCTGGTAACCGAGCATAATACAATTTTTTTAGTTGAAGGTGGTCAAGCACCAGCGCGTTTGGAGGATTTGATGTGTACCAAAATAGGAATATTCTCACGACCACGGGTGGGTCGATTTCTCGGATTTCTCCGACGGTGGCCCCTTGCGCTGAGCGGAGGCGAGCCGGAAAGACACGCTATGAAGCCCTTTGGCTCTTGTAGCATTTAATTCCCGTACCAATATGTGCCCCATGGCTGAGTTGGTTACAGCGTCCGACTGTTACATCTCAGTGATTACGTAATCGGAAGGTCGTGAGTTCGAGCCTCACTGGGGCAGTTTCTTTTTGACTTATAAATTTTTTCTCGGGGCAAAGAGGCATATGCATCGAGTTGAACCTCCTGACATAATTCAATAAAGCACTGTTTTCAATGAAGATGATGACACCTATTTGGATCTTCTGTAGCAGTGTTCTGTCTGGTAAGCATGACATAAATCAGTGTAAAAAGTTTTCACCTATGTAAGTTGGGGATGAACAGCACATTGCAGTGCTTCTCCTAGCCATTTATCTTAGAAAACCTTAGGACATGTTAAGTTACAGTGAGGTAGTTGTGTCCAGCACCTGTTTGGGTAACATAATATCATGATTATAGGCCTACTACTAGTAGTACTGGTAACCTGACAGAATGATCTATCATCTTTGCTTTTAACCAGAAAAATTTCAATTGTACAGGATGTTGTTGGTGATACTTGCTGAGTACAAAATGCATCTTGGAGCAATGAATATGAGGTCACAATGCCAACCATGCTAACCCAACTTCAACAAGGATTGAAGTCATCATCACATGTTAGAGATTGGAAGTATTAGCAGAGACAGGAGTTGCCGAGGGTTTCACAATCCCTTGGTGCGACAACCGCTACATTTGGGTGAGCTATACAGTAAGGTCACAGTGGCATAGGTGGGTCAATGCCTCAAGTCAGACAAGAGGTATTATTGGTTGCTATATGGGAAGAGTCAGGAGTAGAAGAGGAATCAAGAGACAATGTGATACTGACGGGAGGGAAGGATTGTGATTGGAGCAGATAAAGCTTGAGCCCCGGTGCTATCACGTAGACGGAGTACAATGTTTGTTCCTATCCAGGCATGCAATTAGTGGAAAACATTATGCATTGCAAGAAATTGCTAACCTGCTGCAAGATTTACTAACCAGGTGGTAGTGAATGCACCCTGTCCGCCAAGGTCTACCAGTGGAGGGCTGTCTGGGTTTGCTGCTGGCACAGCGCTAGATTCGCAAAATTCGTTAGGATTTTCGTCTCGCAGTGCAAGAGCATTCCACACCTCTGCATCAGGAATAACGTCAATTACCAAAGAAGAATGAGAAAGAAAAGATGGCTTTTACAAGGACATATGGAGCTGCGAAAGGAGGAGGAAAAATAAAACGAAATCAAGGAAAAAATAGAATCGAATTCACGAGTGCCTCCCGCCCAAGCAATTGCAATGGCTTCGCATTGTTCTACCTCGAATCTAATGACCGGCCAAATGAGACGCGTGGGTGAATTACTTGAAGAACTCACGGTGTATTGATCATCAATTGTTGAGCAGAAACAGCAGTAGCCAAGCAGAAAGCAACCAGGGGAGTTAGAGCGAATCGCATCGTCTTTTTTCTCTGTGGGATTGTAGAATAGCGCAAGTTTCAAAAGACGAAATGTTGTTACATTGCTTTATATACGTGATGAGTATGTCTGAGACATAGGAGATTAGAACCCAATCAGTTTTTGAGTTACTGTCGTGGACGCGGATGCTCCAGCCTCGATTTGCCACTGAGGGCTCGAACTGCAGTTGGGGTGCGGATGCCTCGTTTCCGCCCTGAATGAGATCATCTGGGACAGTCTAGAATACAGACCACATCCTGAGCGGGGTTCCTGGGCGATGGGCAGGGCAGGTGCGAAAGCCAAGAAGCGTAGATTTATGCAATCAGCCTGCCGATTGCTTCATCTCATCTCTCTGAATGTCAGTGGGTAATGCGATCAAGTCCCAATGGAAGCGGACCGAGAATAAAGGAAGGGAGGACCAATGTGGTGGAGACGCGAGCCTCGGAGCGTTGGGGAGAGGAGCGAAGCGTTTATTTGCGAAGCATTGCTCGCCCCAGTCATTTCCCGGACTCATGCAAGACATCCGAGGCAAGCTGCAATTCCCAGAGAGCAATAGACCAAGCGGAGTCGGACAGGTTCAAGGCGCTGGGAATCAGCCGTGGAGCGTATTCTTTTGCTAGAATGCGACGGGATGCCGGTCACGGGGATGCGACATGGTGGACCCGCTGCTTGGTTAGGTGGTATGCGAAGGCGGTGTATGTGATTGCTGACACAGACACTGGGACGCGACATGGGGTGGCCTGTGGAGAAAATCGCGCAGCATGAAAAGAAATACAGGGATACATACTCAGCCAGTGCTTGTAATGAAATGAAGACATGTCACGTTGCCTTTCCTAATACATAAGTTACCAAAGGCAGCATCTTTGCCATTACATTCGTGGTGCACTATGTCTGAATAAGTATTCTGGAGGTCTCCAGATCTATCTGTGCATTCGACTCCTTGGAAAGAAGATGGCCAAAAGGAAATCAGAGAACACTGGCAAGAAACGGGTAACATCATTGCCTCCCACCGCTACAGTAGCCTCGGCACCGTTGGTTTCCAGCAGTCTTGCTTTCCCAGAAGTTTCCCAGAAAACCGACCTGGATTGCAGGGTGATCCTTGATGATCAGATACTAGTTATTGACGTACGTATAGTATGCTGTTCTCTGCACATTGGATTGCGATGTATTTACCGCATGCAGGACTTGCTCTCGGCAGCTGAATGTAAGGCGTTCGCAAAGTTCATCGACAAATTACCGCTCGAATTGACCCCACCTAAGAAGCGTGGAGAGGCTGAACGCGTTAATCGTAAGTTTGGACAATATGTACCCCATGCTCTCATCGACCTTTAACCAAATCCTTCGATCTTCAGAACGATTTTCAGTCACCTCTGTGGATTTCGCTCAGAAACTGCACGCATTGCTCTTACCACATCTCCCATCGTTCCCATATCCGATGTCCATGAGGCGACCCTCTGCATTAGACCACCCACGAAGACCTCAATCGTGCAATTCAAACATAAGAGTGTATAAATATGCTCCTTCTCAATACTTTGGGTACTCATTTATGATGCTTTTCGAAGCTTATTTTTTTTACCTGCCGTTTTTCTAGACCACATTATGATGACTCCGTCCATGACGCTATCACTGGAGCCAAGTCCGAATGGACTCTCCTTATCTACCTGACAGGCGTCGAGGATGGTGTTGAAGGTGGAGAGGTAATGAAACAAAATTCACTGACGTTCTGGGAAAAAATATTGATTCGTCGGTCCTCTAGACACTTTTCTACAAGGAGGAAAGGGGCAAACCTCGCCAAGTTATATGTCCCCCTCTCAAACGAGGAACGGCTCTTCTTCATAGGTAAGGATAGCCAGAAGCGCTGTCGCCTTGTTTCTAAAATCCGTCGCGTAGGCATGGCCAGGAATGCATGTTGCACGAGGGATCCCCAGTCCGAAAGGGAACCAAATATGTGCTGAGATCGGACTTAATGTTCACTCGCTGAGATCCTACGGATGGCAACAATAGGTGGCGTAATATATTATACAATAATGTCAGTCATGAGACGATGATACAAATACAAAAATGAAGACAAGATGATAGCACAACAATTGGAGGAGAATAATAAACATGACAGAGAGTTAAGGACCGCAGAATCGGAAATAGAAGAAGACGATAATGAAATGAGTCGACCATGTCGAGAGCAATAGAAAGTGCACGTTTCCGATGTGCATTCACTATCGCTCAATACGTTCAAAAATAGATACATTCTTGAAAATGGCTGAACATACCGCGAGAGGGACCTCCAAGCGGTAGACTCCACCGCTGTGATCATGTCTTTTCCGATTCTGGCTCCATCCATTCGGAAATTGCCACTGCAGATTCAGCAATTCGGCCTCGGACTCTTCTTTCGGAACGACGAGAACATATCGTACTTCGACGTGCGGCGTTCGAGAGGCCTGCCCCTGGCCGCGAGGGTCCCCTGAAAGCGCGTTCTTCAAAATTGCAATGATTTCGCGGATCCTCCGATAGCCCAAAGCAGAGCATTCATGGTTTCGTGATGTGGTTATCTGGAGTATCCACAAAATGGCCGTCTTCTTCTCATAGTCAAGTTCGATGATAAAAGCATCGAAGAATGGGAAGTTGGGGTCCAGAGGAATATAGTATGAGTTGTTCTCCAGGTAAATGGGGAGGTTGGCGATGGCCTGGAGCTTGACGATCTTGCGATGGACTTTCATAAATCGTACATTGTCTGAAACAGGAAAATCCCGGTCCAATGTGAAATGCGGTGGATCGAGGGCATCGGATTTCATGTTGGCAAGGGGCCAGGTGCCGTCGGCACAGGTTGCTATAAAACGATGAAGAAATGGCTCGAGCAACCGTCCCGCGAATTCTCGAGTTTCCGGCATCGTTCGAAGGAAGCTCATTTGCTGGCGAGTTGGGAAGTCCTCTGCTTCATACAGGCGCTGGAGCACATGCCTAGCAACCGAGTCTGATTTGAAGTCCACAGTCCAATGAACGGGCATGAGAAGGCCTTGATTGACCGGGTGGAGAGCAAGGATCCAATCTGACATAGAGTGACTGGGACTAGTGAAGGGGAATAGAGCGGCTCGCAATTCCATGTAGTTGAGGTTGGCAAAGACATTCTCGTGATGATGGGTCACCACCGAATAGTTGAAGACCGCGTCGAACACGTCACGGGGAGCGAATCCGAAATGATCGATCGCTGCGTCCAGAAGGTACGCAAGGGCATCCTCAGGCGACGGTGGCGGTGTGTCCTCTTCAGCGTAATATTCCTTGAGGAGGTCTGCGGACCCAGAGAATCCCACTAAGGAATCCAATGATATAGACAAGGGGTTTCCATAAGCTCTCTGAAGCGCGCCCCACAGAGAGCCGAACCGGCGCTGATATTTCAGCCTGGATAGTGGGTGCTTAGATATGAATAGAGATATGTGATAGGTGGGACGTACCCTTGCGCGAGCTCATCGCGAGTCCATAACGGCAAACCAGTGATGAGAGGATAATGTTCCTTTTTCCAGATGGCGTATCGGGCGGGATCGGGCGAGGCTACCTGCACTGGAAAACACGGATAGGTCACCAGGAAGTGCGCTGGATCTTCCCGCTTAAGGATATCAAATAACGACCAAATGAAGATCGAGGTGGCGGATACAGGCTTAGGGAGCGATGCCTCACCATCCAGGTCTCCCACC